GTTTTGTAAGTAAATGATGTTGGCTTCACATAGAACCCAGTATACTGGATCCTTGGTTTTCACATTATTTAATTTGTCAAGGTTTTGAAATCACAAAAGGTAGTTGAGATGATTGAGATGAGAATTAAATTGGCAGAATTTGGACTTAATTAAATGATTTGGAGTGGCTGTGACATATAAACCAAATAAGCTTTGAGTGTTTATCAATTGGCTGTACATTATTCAGGGACATGTTCCAGACATGATTACCTTACATTCTTAGTTCCTGCCACCAAATAGGTTAGTAATAAATTCACTTTAATCAAGAGATTAGAATGCCAGACACTGCCTTCTTTAACATTCATATTGACAAAATTTTAGCATCAGTTCCACATATTAAGTCAGCCTTTCTTCATGAATTCAAACAGGCTCTTTAAAAATGTATCTACGTGAGATATTGAAAAGCTTAGGGAAAGAGTTGAAATCATTGAATCAGAAGGGTGCATTTGAGTGTCTGCACTGGAGACCAGAGACTTCACCTTTTGTCTCATTTTGATGGATGATTTAATACTAAGGTGTCTGCACTTGTATTACCAACCTTAACAGTTTTTCTCACCATGGCAACACAACAACAATCTTTGCTCTCTGGGCTAATATTTTCATTACCATTCTCTATGTATCTTTCATGACTCAGATGTGTATTGTTCTGCTACCTGTATGTTCATGTACTAAATCTAACAGCATTCCACACATGGTGGTTTAAATCTCACAAAGAAAAGGTTTATCACACAAGAAAAACATAATAATAACCCCACAGGTGTAATAAACTGTAATATGTTGGTTGTATTTGCTTTAAGAATGATTAATATTTATGCTGTATTCAATTTAACAAAATATTTTTCTTGAAGTATTTTGATTTGACCTATGATGAATTACCTGGTTTATTTAGACCAAAGAACAATACAGAAATATGTGAGTCTTTTTAAAACTGACAAAAGGGTCTGTTTAATAATCATGAATATGTGGGTGTGTGTGTGCATGTGTTTGTGTGCATGTGTGCGTGGGTATGTGTGTGTGTGAGTTAGAGAGAGAGAGAGAGAGAGAGAGAGAGAGAGAGAGAGAGAGAGAGTTTACTGGAAAATAATTTGAATCAACCCAACAAAAGTATGGTTACATTATCTCTGTAAGAATTTTAAGCAACATCAATACCATAATACTGAACTAGAGACAAAATAGTTTATTTGGCTGTAACCAGGCTTAGATCTAAGATGACAGTCACCAGGTGACACCGAGAGCTTAAGCATCAATTTAATAATCATAATCCAATAACAAACTTCTGTATATAAGAAAGCAGTATGAATATATAGCTGTTAATGGGTTGTTGACTTTATAAACAGACTGAATGCATTGTCCTGACAATCCCATATGAACATTATTATAATCACATTAGAAATGACAACAAAACATATTCACACTACGTGATAGGATTATACCTTTTTAACAAACCAGAATTAAATGCTGAAGTATTTACATGAATTGATGTTTTTTTAAAAGTAAATTTCATTGGGGCATGCTTTTCCCCCCACACAATAGACATTTGAATGGTTGATTTGTATAGCAAACTGCTGAATAACCTTATTTATTCAGTGGCTTTTACTGGTGAATGTGGATTATTGTAGTATTTGAGTGCATGTTTTGGTATTAGGCTGTAAACATGTTTGACAATATGCAAGGTTAGTGTAGGTGACACATGCTTCCCTATCCAGGTGTTGGGGGGAGATGAAGGAATGGCTTCTTGGCTTAATTGAGAAAATGTCAACACTGTTGCAGATAGATACAGGCATTCACCTCATTACTAGTCGTTAACTGACAATTAAGCCAACCATTTTAGTGTATTTTTTAATTGTGACAAAATACATGATGCCCTTGCCCTTTACTTTGTAACAGTAAATAAGTTACTGAAATAAAACTCCAATAGCAAATTATTTTCAGATTATTACACAAGGGTGTTTATTTCAAAATTAATTTTTTTTTTCACTTTGTGGTATCAATTTAACCCAATGCAAATTTTCCTTCTTGCACAAATAAAGCCTAAAATGATTTGTTCTATAAGTATTGATTTGGACAATGTTTTTTTCTTATCTAGGATTATGGAGCACACAAGGCTGCCAGTTTGTCAGAGTGTGATGATCACATTTTCCTCAAGTTCCTACATTCTCTCAACAATACCCCAGTGGATATTCACTCTCAGCCTGGGGCAGACTTTAACTTTTATTTAGAGGAATACAAATCAAGATGGGCAAGGTAAGAGCTTGCTTTACTATTCATGTGGCATAATTACTTTTTATAATCTAAAAAAATATAAAATCAATCATGTGTTGCTAACAGTGTCAGTGGTGAATATCTAATGTAACAACAAATATGTACTTTTACACAAGTGGGACCTTAATTTTTGTAAAAGGATTCATATCAAGCTGCCCTGTTTTTCTTTGTTACAGTAAAAATTTATTCTTTTACTACTGAACTAATGGAGGGTAGGAACATTCATAATCTTTTTGAAATCTCAATTTCTCCAATATGTACCATAAGTAGATACATAAATGTCTGGTTTGAACAGACCTAACAAATCAAGAGGGAAACATACAGGCAGTTTAACTTGTTTCAAGTACTGGCAAAGCAGGCCATAGGCCAATACTATTACCTGTGACTTTTTATGAATTAATCTTTGTCTTATATACAATGTAATCATCATTGATTTATGTTATATGGTTGAAAGCCTTTTTGTTGCTGCTTTTGTAGGTGATACTGCACCAGTTGTAAATGTTCTTATAGTTTTTATTCAGTATTTCAAAACACTGTTATCAGGACCAAATAAGTTAATTCCAAACCAAAACTTAATGAACAAATTGTCATTCTCTTAGGAAATAAACCATGGCAAAAAGGTACTCAGGTTTAATTTTGTTACTTTTTAAATGTTTTCTGTCATACAGGTAATGTGGAAATTTCGTGGCCATCATCAGAAATATTTATTAGAAATGATGTGTGTATTTTGTTTTGAAATTTTACTATTCAAATCATTGTTCAATCTTATTTTCTGTGAACTGTTTGTATGTTGTTTGTCTCTTAAAGTGCATTTTGTGTGAAATAATCTATTGATTTAATTGTTTAGTTTGTAAGAAGTGTACCTTCTATTTGTTTTACCAAACACAAGTTGTTTATTTTGATATCTTTAAATTATATAATTACTGGTACATGGATCAGAGCAGGGTTGATAAACAGTAACTTTATTTATTTTTTTTTTTCAAGATATTGTAAGAGTAATTGAACTATAATTAACATTTACCTTAAAATAACATTATCACCTCGTTCAGATAAGAATTATTTTTTTATAGAGATTAAATTGATTGTACTCTTTCCTAGGTAAATATTTGTTTAGATATTTGAATAAGTTTTTTATTTGATAATTACAGTGCAAAAATTACCCAGTCTCTACCAAGTGGTCCCCCACAAACTGAAGATAATGTTAATGAGACAAGGTCAAAGTCCCTCAACTCGTTGAATGAAACTGACCAATCAGAATCGGGCAGGTCTGTGTCGTCTGCTGGCCAGACCAGAGGAGGAGGGGGTGATGCAGAGTTGATAACAGCAGATACAGGGAAGTTAGTGGATCAGTTCACACGACCAGGGTCCCATGCATCAGTTCAAGGAGACAGGTGAGAAGCAAATTCAAAGAGAAATTTTGATTGTTAGTGATAGTATAGTCTGCCACCCAGTTATGTAGGCCATGTATATTGCAAAGACTGAGAGCAATTTAGCAAGGAACCCCGTGGAGATCCTGTTAGAACAATCTAGGGATGGGAACCCAGTTTAAGATCTTGTAGATAGTCCCACTGTGGGCAACAGATAATACTTCTTTCTGATTTACTAATTTCTTTTGTGATGTCAAAAGCTTGTACATTTAGGTTTAGTATATTATGGTGTCATTAGAGTGGTTATTTATTAAGCCATTTAGATATTGGGCAACTCTCATGCAAATTGTAGAATTGAAATACTACGAGAAATTTCCCATTTTCAGGCCCCTGTCTTCAGCATCTATGCGTCCAGTGTTGTCAGCAGCTAAGCTTGCAGCCTCCCTGAAGTCTGTAAGCTATATGGGAAGGCCAGACTCTGCAACATCCAGTCATAGATCAGGTAAATAAGAAAAGGGCTGATTGAAAAAATATAAAATGAGCCTCAAACATATTTTGGGTATCTCCTGGGATATAAAACTACAATAGTATTTGCATTTTTGAAAAACTAGAGAATTGGTAAAAAATAAACAGAATGGGGAAAAATATTTCAATATATACATAATCAGGAAATGTAAAGCATCCCAGTTAGGCAAATACACTCACACACACAAACCACAACAAACAAACAAAACAAAAAATGCAATGTTTATCATCTACAGATGAAAAGATCAATTTTTTCAGGTTACAGTGTGGCTCGTCCATCCACATGTTTTCCACAGTCCATGATGGGTTCACGGCCAGGATCTGGGTTCTCCAGATATTCCAGGTCAAGGCCAGCATCTGCTGCAAGGTCAAGGCCAGGTTCTGGCCTCAGATCACCTTTGATCAGGGCAATGTCAAGGCCGCCTTCTGGATCAATGTCAAGGCCAAACTCTGTGGCCTCCCAGCACCTTGAACTCCCAGGTCAGGACAGAGTGAGCATAAGTGATAAAGATGAAGCACAGACTGAAGTAGATGAAAACATTTCTCTATGGCAAGAATCTGATCGTTGGACTGAATTAATTGACAGAGAGGAAGTGGGGACTGAAACTGACATAGAGTCTGTCTATCCTGATAGACATGTGTCAGAGGTGCATGTGCACTCGCGCCCCCTCAGTCCTCGCAGTGTTGTTTCTCAACAAACTCTGCACGATCAGGCTCTTCTGCATGCTGAAACCTTTTCCCAAAGCACTTTCCACACTCTGCATGATGCACAGTCCCTTAGGTCCCACACAGAACCCCATTTGCATGATGGAATGACTGAGACTGCCTCTGTTTGGGATGATGATTATGGTGTAGACCCTGATCTTTATCAAGAAGAAGATCTCCCATTACCACATGGTAAGTTTACACAATCCAATCTTTTCCCCTTTGTTCTCTAGTGTATTTTGATATGAATCCTAATATGGATCCATTCATTGATTTTCATTGGCAGTAATAAGATGATTGACTGTGTGCATGGTTGCTCAAATCAAGTGATCAGAATTTATAGATCTACAGTTTTTCATGCTCTTTCAATTGGTAAAATACTAGAAAAGTAAAGGAATGGGTTGTTGGCAGTTGTTGGCAACCAAATTTGAATTGCTTCTGAGCATTTGAGAACACATCATACCTACTGTTGTTTCAATTTATACTATGATTAAGTCCGGTTAGATTAGATTTCTTGTATAATCAAGGTTATAGTTTGTATCGATGGTTGCTATTGCAAATAAGATATGGTTGCTTATTCTGAAAATTGACCTTGTGCACATATTTTATGTCCTGATAATTATCAAAACTTTTGCATATATTTCCGTAGATGAGGCATATCTACAACCAGATCTTCTTCCAAATCCAAACACAGGTGAGCAGACCTTTCTTGGCTGTCCTTGTATGCAAAGAAGTTTAACAATATTACCTTTGAAAAGCTCTGAAGTCAGTGGTGGAAATATTCTTTCAGTTAAAGTGCTAACTTGTATACCTACTGGCAATTGCATATAAGATATAAGAATTTAATCAAGAAGTAAGTAGCTCTACATTGTATTGTTGTTAAACAGAAATTTTAACAATAGATCTAAATTAAAATTATTTAATTTACAGAATGCATATATGAATACAGTGGTGTTCCTCTTGCAAAAACCTTTGTAAGTATCTCTCAAAAATGAGACAAAAGGTTGGTTGGGATGTTTCACTATCTGTAATAGTTTGTCCATTTGTTAACTTAAGTAATTTAAGATATTTTTACTTTCATCGAAAAATCTTTGTTCAATTTTAACTTACATTCATGGTTTTACTTTGATCCTAGCTCTAGGCCAGGTTCAGCATCCCACTCCCTGTCCACAGGGTACCATACCATGGTTACCGTGGAGACAGAAGCAGCCAGTGGTACTCACCCATCACAGCCACAATACACTGGTGAGGGATACACTGGTTGATGTTAACAAGGAAAATAATATTTCAAAAGATATTTGATGCTTAAGATGTTTGTTTTTATCCTGATTTATTTTGGCATTATGTGTGTTGATATTATATCGACTGATATGATAAGCATTATTTTGGAAAGGAAGCAAACCCACTTAGAATCGTTAAAAGATGTGAAATAATGAAATCAAATGGATTTCTTTTACAGAATGTCACCATTGGTTTGTCATTCACATTGTATAAATATCTCTGCAGGTGGCAGTTTCATTGGAGGAGCCAGTTCTGTATTTTCCTTGGATACAACTGTTACAGAATCTGCTAACCTTGAACATGACGATTCAACAACAAAAGCTGTTCCAGCAGAGACGGTTACAGGCGCAGTTAATAGTCGCAGGTCCCCATCAGCAAAAAGTCACATAACATCATCTTCATCTATCAGGGAAGAAGGGAATGGTAAGAGAGCGAGATTTGATAGGGATTAATGTTATCAGTATTGCCTGGTAATACCCTTAAATATATATGTCCAGTTTTTCTCTAAAGAAACATGCTTAATTTTACCTAAATGTAGAATATAAATGTTTTGCAAACAGAGCATGATGCTAGATTTGTTTGTTTTAGGTGGAGAAGCAGTAAAGCCAGGTGATTTTGCATTAGATACTAAGAAACAAGGTGAAATATGTTGTTGAATCCTTTAATTTCCATATGTCAGGTTCAGGAATACATTATTTTTGTATGCTTTTTCCTATACTACTTGAAATGTCCATTTATTGCAGTGTTGATAACTTCTGAAATAACATAATCTAAAAAATGCATCAAAAGACTTAACAGAATTTTTTTTGTTTATGATGATGCATATTTCATGATTTTTGCTCCTACTTCAGAACCACAAAAACCACAAGCGCCATCACCAACCAAATCGCCTGCTCCACTCATGAAGATAACATCAGGCCCCAAACCCCCATCTAGTCCATTGACCAAGTCAACCAGTAATGCAACACAAAAAATTAAGGCAACAAGTGCAAAATTAGAAAAGGTACATTGTTATTGAACAATGATTCACTTTACCATTTTTAAATATTTCTGTCTTCGTAGAGATTAAAGTAAAATATGATAACATAATACATTTTAAGCAAATAGCGTAAAAAAAAATAGGACAAGATTTTGCATGGAACTTTTTAAGGACAAAGCAAATAACATTTTTCTTATCGATGGATTAGTTTTTACTTAACTCATAAGAGCAGCTCTTTGGTCATTTGATTCTGTGATTAAAAAATGTTAAAACACATTGCAGAAAATCAAAACACCAAGAGTGTCATCAGCAGCCAGTAGAAAAAGGGATGTCAAAATATCTACCAGTACTGAGACGTCCAATGAGCAAGTCTCACAACCCTCTGCAACTACCAATAGGGAATTTAAAGTAAGGATGTTTTTGATGCTTGGTACATTTAATTGATAGACTAAACTCCTAACAATAAATCAGGGTATTTGTTGGAAAGTGGAAAGCAAAGGTGATTTGTTGGAAAGTGGAAAGAAAATAAAAGATGGATTTTGTCTATTCCAGGAATTCACGTCAGAATCATTGATTTCTGATACCCGAGCTGAGATTGAGCGTGTATTTGGTAAGCAGACACCAGTAAAAACTAAAAAAGCTTCTGGAGGTACTAAAGGAAATGAGGGAAGCATCAAGAAGCATAGATCTAAGGAGAAGGAAAAAGAAAAAGAAAAGGAGAAGGAATTAGAAGTGGAAATTCCTGAAGAAGGTACTTAAACCTTGTTTTAGAATTTTTTTCTTGTTAGAGAACTGCAATACATGTCCTAAAGCTATGGTGTGGTCTTTAGAGATGTAATACATTCTGCTCAAAAGAAACAATAAGATTGAAATTTTGGAGAGATTATGTATATGTATGACATACATTATTGTAAGAACATTAAAATATTTTGATATATATTGGATTTATTTCAAAAGAACGATTGACTCGTTTAAAGGAACATATAAACATCTTTGGTTGTTTGAGAATTAAACTGTCTTCATTAAGTATGAATAAAGGCAATAGTATTAATTTGATGTACAGTTATTATATATATTTGTGAGAAGGATGAAATATTTCATGCTCTAAATAATATGAAAATTATTTTTCATAGTAAAACAACTTATGGAGGGTGGTGCAGATGAATTCACTGGTGAGGAGGGAGGACTGACTGTTGAAGAATTGGAACTGCAGCAGCAGTTACTCAAGGTATGAGAATATAAAAAAATTTGGAATATAGCACTGGTTTATTATTTTAAAAATCCAGATGGTCAAGATGATAGTTATTGAAGAGAAAGTGCCTTGTTGCCTGGCTTCAGGTACGTTAAGATGCATTTAAACTTATGAGAGTCAGATTAATACCCTTTAACCCAATCAAAGCCACCATATAGTTTCAAGTGATTTATCCTTAAGAAATACCGCACAGTTTTGGTACAAAATTTTCTGAAAATGATATTGCACAGGTATTTTCTGCTTAATTATTGTGTGTTGTGGAATGGAGGAAAATACAAGCAGGTCTAATTGCAACCAAAAATTTAATGAAGGTGCAGTCCTTTTTTTACTGCCCAAAAGATTTTGGTGTTTTTTTTCTAGTATGGGATTTAATTTTTTTGTTGTGAAAGACACTGGTACTAATAAGTGTGTTACAGGAAATTTACTTTATCTTTAACACTTAATGAATAGATAACATTTTCAAAACTAATTTCCATTTTTAATGCAGGAAAAAATGGAGTCTGCCCAGGAGCAACTTAAATCTGCAGGCATTAAGTCAACTAAACCAGGTAAACCAGCCAATAAAGAGAAAAAGGAAAAGAAATCACTCAAGGTCAAAGATGAAAAAGATGAAGAAATGGAGAGGAAGAAACAAGAGCTGAGAGAAGCACGGAGATTAGAGAAAGAAGTATGTGGTGTTTCTGTAGCTTAATTTACTGACAAAAGAAAGTGGCTTAACTCTTGTCCCAGATTGCCTTTTACTTTCTAGTTTATCTACTTTATTAGAAATTAACTACTTGACTGATATTTACAGCCTGTTATTAACTTGAATATTATTATTATGCCCACTTCTTGGACAAATGTACCAATGTGTAGAAATTGTTTCAACAGAAAAAAAAATTAAAGCTTTTTGCACCTTTTATTGTTTGAACCACCTTTATGAATATCATTAAAGAAGTTAAAGGAGGTTTGAGGGAAGATTCTGTAATAAAGTAATTGACGAGAAACTTTTTATGTACTTGGTGTTTAGTATCTTATCTTACATCTAATTATAAAGATATTCAGATTATGTAGTTGGAAATTATTTTTTTAATACTGCCAGTGTGTCAAAGAAATTGTGCCACATGACATTTTAGAAAATGACATGCATGTGACTATAAATGAATAATCAAAAATATTGACCATTTGTATGTGGTAACAGTGATTTTGTGGTCAATGCTTAACCCACAGACACACTTTTAAAATACTGTTTATAATTTCAGAAACGTGAGCAGGAAGCTAAGCAGTTACAGGATTTGATAAAACAGAAGGAAGAAGATAGGAAGAATAAAGAAATGGAAGCTAAGCGGGAACAGGAGGTTGGTGAAGAATTCTTTTTCTTGGTGTAAATTGTTTACAATTAGAATACTAATATCTTCTCCTAATTCAAGAAATGCAAATTCAATGGTGCACTGCTGTATGTCAAGAAGTAATGTGCTGGTTTTTAACTTGAACATCTATTGAAGCAAAATGTGAAATATTTTTGTAGAGGAAAGAAGCAGAACTGAAAAGAATTGCTGAAGAAGAGGAGAGCATACGTCAACAGGAGGAAGAAGTGAAAAGGATACTGGCTGAACAAAGAAGAATAGAACGAGAAGAAAGAGAAGCCAGGAGAAAACTTGAACTTGAGAGAAAGAAACAAGAGGCAATCCGGCAGCGTGAGAAGCAGAAAGAGATGATGGCCAAGGCAAGACAGAAGGAGTTGGAGATGCTAGAGAGAATAGCAGATAGTGAGGCAAGAAGACGGCGCAGGGAAGAATTGGAAGAAGATGAGGAAGAGGAGAATGAGAAATTAGAAATGGAATTTGAGGTAAAATCTACATCGTGTGTTTTGAAGATGAAAAGAAGTTCAGTGGATAATGTGTAAATAGATTTTTATTTTGATGGATCACTTAATCTTGTATGTAACCCATCAAAATGCCTAATGATAAAGACACATCTTCATCTTCATGATAATTCTAGTCCAGTCCAGTAAGAAAATAAAATTAATGATTAGAATATATCCTATTCAGATGTTAAGCATAGATATGAAATTTATATCAACTAACAAATGAGAATTTTTATATAGAAAAACAGAAATATGAATGATAAAAAATAAGACTTTGTAATTTATATCCACTGACAAAATGAGATTTTTTTTGAAAGAACAGAAATATGAATGATAAAAAATAATAAGAATTTATAATTCTCTTTTTTAAAAAAGTGTTTTATATTAACTGTCATGCACAAGGTAATTACTAATTAATTACTAATTTTTTTCTTTAATGACTGAAAAAATAGTAGGGATATAGACAGGTAAATCATTATTCTCATCAACTCTGTTATTCAGGAATCGCTGAAGCAGGTTGAATTTGAGATGGAGCAGGAGGAAGCAAAGATTGCTTACTTGGAGAAGAAGGCAGAGGAGGAGGCCATGGCTGACATGGTGCGTGAGAGGGAAGAAGCTGAATGTAGACGACAGAAGATTGAAGAGGAAATGGAAAAAGTCAGACAACAAGAACAAGAAAAAATGTAAGTGTCCCCCAAATATCCATTTCTTCATGGTGAATGTGATCAAACACAAAAATTGTCCTGTACATCCAAAAATTCACTTTGAAGCTAAAACTTTCCACATTTAAAAATTACATTGTAAATCCTAGGTAAAAGTGATATATGTCATTCATTTTTAATATACAGATATGACACAAAATTGATAAAATGGATATTGAGTGAGACTCACCCTAATTTTGAATCAGAATTTTTCATACACATTTCCTCCTACCCCTCATTTGTAATTGAGAAAAAAAAAGACCATGCAACAACACCTTACTGTTTGTTTGAAAACAAATATTAATTAATTCAAATTAATTTTTACATATAGTTCTGGCCTTAGATAACTATATCCTAAAATTTTTGTCATGGTTTAATAAATGGCCTGTGTGTTGGCTAGCCTGTTGATTTCTAAATGTTTATATTGTGGATAATAACTTGTGGTACTTGTGGTTAAGCTGCATGAGTTACAAAATCATCCATAGAGAAATCAATATAATTGGCTTGCAATGACTTTTGCCTAATCTTTCACAAGATGATTATATATTGTCAAATTATGGGAATAGTCATTCATATGTTCTAGATTAATCATGGGTGCATGTTAAAATAATAGTAATAATACATTGAGACTATAACGGGTGTCAAGGTTTTCCTGTAATCCTCAGATTCCAATTAGTGGAAAAGATTATTGTAGGAATGCCAGTTAAATATAGCAGGAGCTATCTGTGTGCTACCTGTTACCATGACGCTGTAATAACAGGGAAATGGAGTAATTGGGAATTGATTGTTCAGCAAAGAGTTCCACAAGGACTTGTTGATTTTTTATTTGTACAGAGTCATATATCTCCCTTTAGATTGTATGTCAAAAGCAAAGAAGGAAGACCTATTTTGAAAAATAACAATAACAACCAGGATGTTTCCATTTCACAGGCAAAAGATGTTTGAAGAACAGCAAAAACTTGAATTGGAGATTCAGAAGAGAGAGGAAGAGGAGGAAAAACAGAGGGAGATTGAGAGACAGAGACTTCTGGAGGTAAGAATTTTAACAGTAATATTATACAAGATAAGGAATTGTGTTTCTAACATTTGAACTCTAATGCTGACAATAACATAACAAAAACAATTTGAAAATGTTAATACACATTATCACCATTAATGTGTTTTATGTTCCATTGAGTTTGGTTTTTGTTAGAGATTTTACCAACAGTTTTACCACATATATAAATGGAAAATTAATAATTTTATATAAATCATTCAGTATATTTAATTAAATTATTCCCTTTTTGTGAGAAAACACCTTTATTACATATAAAATCAGAAAAGTGGGAATTGAAAAAATTTTTGAAAATAAATGGATGCTTTCTTGTAGCTACGAAAGATGGAGGAAGAGGCAAGAGAGAAGATGCGCCAAGAAATGCAGAATAGAAGAGAAGAGCTCCTTAAGCTCAGAGAAAAGAATATAGAGAGGAAAAACAACTTGGAGAGTGTCCGTCGTTCACAGGGTGTCACCAAACCATGGGTGTTTTCATATTATGTGCTGTGGCCAAGAGAAACTTATGAAAAGTATGTTATTACAATTCTTTAAATCATTTGGTGATATTGTTAAACCTGAAAAGAAACCTTCATATATAATGATTATTTGTTTACAATCAAGAACTGCAAAACTTGAGATTGTTTGACATCGTTTTATTTTAACAAATCTCAAAAGTTTTGTTAAAATTTTAAGCTGTGGATAGTGTTATTTGATATATTTATTATTTCTATTTTTAGACCAATGATCTCAGATGATAAGAAAAAAGGTGGGAAGAAAAGTGGGAAGAAAGGGAAGAAAAGTGGGAAAAAGAGTGGGAAGAAAAAGAAATGATCCTAGCCTGCAGTGCTCTTACAAATAATTAGAAAAAGTTGTGCTGGGTGATTTCTGTGACATTTTCTTAAATCAGTATGGCTTTAAGATAATGTTTAAACTGATGTAATGATGGATACATTCATGAAGACCAACATTGCCACAAAAAGAAGAAAACTCAAATAATGTCATAATCAGTGTGGATAATTTTGATATAGATTTATTATTTTTGTTGAATCTAAATCAGGGTATTTTTTAATTTTTAATGTATAAAAGAGATTTTCTCTATAAGGAAATTACTTCATTATGATAAAATCAAATAAAGCATTCCATGACATAAAAAAATGATATTTTTATTATGTAGTCTAGCCTTTGTTTAATATGCTAAAACAAATTAAATGACAGAATAAGAATGTTAGCCATTTCTGTTTTCAGTTGTCTATGAAATGTTTCAGCTGTTTAATTACCCAATTTTTTTTCCATGACAGAATACTGAAAGAATTTAATGTACCATGTTCTGTTCAACTGTTATCTGTGCTATTTTCTTAAAACTATAAACCATCCATGGTTATATGTGTAACAAATATATGCAAATGACAATCAAAATTACCAATGTCAAATTTATTGAAGAGGCTTATCTGTGTTGTATTAATATTCAGCTTGATCTGTATTTGGTATTTGGGAATATTTTTTCTGTGCAATATATCAAATGGTCACAATTGAAATCATATTAGAAAGTTGTAATTGAACATTAAATCATATATATAATGAAACTAGAGTCACATGATAGGAAGCAAAGTCATAACATAATCACAATGCGTCACATTTGCTCAAGCACATTATTTTAAAATATTGAATAATACATAATTATTTTGGAAATAAAAGTACTTTTTGTGGAAAGTTACTTGTTAGTTTGAAACTATTATTTCACTTTTGTCAAATTATACTCTAATATATTTTGTACATCAAGCTGATTTTCAAACTCGACCTGTATTTTAGGTATGTAACATCGATCACTCCTGTGAGTTTCAAGTGAATAGACCCATTGGTTTTCTTTGAAATGTGTTTTCAGTGTTGCATATGCTGAAAAAGCGAAAAAAAAAAAAAAAAAACAGCATAACTTTGGAAAAAATGGCCTGATCATGCTGATTTTTTAACTCAACCTATATTTTAAGAATATTTATCAGTTTCGTAAGTTTGAGGACAAAAGGTAAAACAGTTTCTACTTAATTGTGTTATCACTGAAGGTGATGACAGTGATGACAGACGCAGGTACATAAAAGGTATAAATAATGCTTGCCTTTTCCATTTAAATATATCTTTACTATCTCTTCTATTATCTCTGTCAAAGCCAACATTGTTTTTTTGGTGTGGATTAATTGATTAGCTGCTATGGGATCATAAATGGCATCGTTATTGAATGATATCAAACTAGCTTTTAATTTACTTTAATCAGACCAGTGTAATTGCACATAAACTACCTTGAATATACCCTGAATTTGAAAATGGGAAGGAAAAATCTCAGTGTTTGAGGATAATGAATGTAAAAATGCAATTATCAGGAAAGGATATCGATTTCTCTTGCAATTTCACTGACAGAACTCTCTACCAATGACTGAAGATAGTCAAAGTTGTACATTGAAGATATAATTTGTTTTGCATTTAATTTTTTTTTATAATGATAACAGAAAACCCCTGTTCAATACACTAAAGTTATTCTTTATATTATTTATGCAGGATTTGTGAAGTTTTTTTTAAATGAGATTTTAAAATGAGAGCACAAATTATTTTAGTAAAAAGATTTGGAATGATTGTTTGGCAGCCTGACACTAGTATCTAAATCTAGAAGCAAATTTCACTGAAGAACTGAATTTTGATAGCTGTGATAATGGTACATAGATATAATAGTGAATGATTTCTATCAAAATAAAAATTCCCACTAGTCATTGATATGGTCTACAGACTCCAGACATATCACATGTCACAGTTGTTGTTCTGGTAGGTATCTTTCAATTGTTTAAGCAGCGATCTTATGGAACAGCAGAACATTAATAATGTCATAATGATACATCACTTGCATCTTTTAAGGAAATGCATATGTGTCTGTTATCATGCACGGAGTGTTCCTTTGATTCCTACTGCCACCTATAAATGATAGATTTACGCATTGCTCGACCATTACATTCTGGAAGTAAAGGTCACATCTAATGGAAAAATCAGGCTAGTGATGCAGTTTTTGTGATGAATTTTGACGCTTTTTGATGTAGTTTTTTTAACAGCAAAGGGAGCACAAAATGTGTGAGAAAAGGGGGCATCCTTATATTATTATTTTGCTATATAATTTTAAAATTTATTTGAATTTTTAAGTTATGGTATGCGTATTTCAGGAATGTGCTATTCTTATCGTCAATGAAATTTGAATTAATTCCCCCAAGGTTATGGTAATGTTCTGTTGAACCTCCAAAAAATTGAATTCTGAAAAGTCATTTGTCACATCAGTTTGATGTGCCATCTTGAAGTATGCATAAATTCAATTGCTTGTAAGTGAATAAGAAGAAATTTCACTGTGCAAGCTCTTTTATGGAAGCTTTCCTATTCCTGAGTGAGCAAAAACATCTAGGAGGTGGTCAATCACGACATAATTTGGCTTAATGCCAATTTCATAAGTACTATTTACTTGGTAATTTTCTCTGGGTTCAACGTCAAATAATGGAATAGTATCATCCTCGTGTAAGCAGCAAAATTATATGGTTTCTGGGACTTCGTTTTTTTTATGTCATTTATATTTAAACAGTTTTTTTTTGTTGCAGTTAAAATGTTGCTCTAATTATCAATTGGTAATTGGGTAATATCTGTTGGATATTTCCTAAAAATACATAGCAAATGGCTTAAGCTGTCATCCTCCATGTGCAGAGGCTCATCACTGGTGTATCTGATTTTACATACCAAGAGATATGTGACTGTGGCTTTTTTTTTTGGTATAAGTTGTGTTTTCCAATGTAATGTAATTACTTTCCCTCAACATTCATGACAAACAAAACATTGTCATCCTCTCACTATATATGCCTTGAATACCTCTTGCTGATGCTTGAGGTGTTCTGGCATACGTATTGCCCCAGTGGCAGTGCATTATCTCCCTCATACCCTCACTTCATTGTGCAAGCATTAGCAAGGCGGTTCCCTATATTCAGCAATGAGAAATGCTGTACATCACAAGCATAAAGGATAATGGAATGTAGCCATTTAAGTCAGAGGACACACACATTAGTCATTATCAAGTCTATATACCCATAACTTGCAAATATGCATACTGCATGTGTGAACGGGAAATTCTTGATGTAAATCTACATTTGTAAATATGCAGTTCCACACACCAATTAATGCTGGGGGAAAAAAAAACAATAAACAAAGGAGACAATATACTTTATTGCTGATGACATCAACATACAGTCAAATTAAAACATGCCCTTTAGAGTAGACTTTACTGTTTCATGTGCAATTAATGCCCTCATGATACAACGCGTGAAAGAGCAATATTAAAGGTCCAGTAAGGTAAAATCAATTCTGAGAAATAAGATGAATTCCAAGAAGTTATCTGTTTATCGCAATCAAGTGAGGATGTCTTGCAGGAATAAGACTTATTAAATGTGCAAATAGAAGCACTCCCAAAGCCAATTTGAATGGAAAACACTTTGGTGCAAAGTCAGTAGTACAGGAGGCATTTAGTACAGTTATCTCTCATGTTATCTACGAAAAAAATCTGAGAACATCACAGAGTGGTAGCTGTCTTAACTGTATGAAGATGACATCTGTACCTCTCTACAGAGCATACCATAATAGTAAAACTAGTAGCACTGCTCACAAATACTTCACAGGAGGGAGGGGGAAAACCCTCTTCATTAAACTTGTATTGTCTGCATGTTAGGATTATAAACCATGCCAATGAATGGAAGTTTACCATTTGACAATCATATCCTATGGTATGCACTGTAGATCCTTACCAGAGGACAAACAAAGCAAAAGTGTCAATACTCTATCTTGCACACTTTTAAATCTGACTTTTATTACAGAGTCTTACCACTTTTGTTTTGGGCCTCCAACAATTGTGGCTGAAAACAGCACACTCTCAAAACAAAACAAAAATTTCAAAAATAAAATTATCCTGATGTGGTATATGTTACTTTTCTTCTATTTACAAGACAATGAGGATTACTTACATTAAAATTAAATGCACACACACAAAAATGACCCTAAATTCTACTTATAAATGTTTGATTTGACACTGCCACCATATACTGATTACTTAACCAGAATGAAATAAATGCACAATCCCCAAACTTCATAAATAACATAGCATCAACATTTGCTTAAATATGAAAATAAATGCAATGTCAAACACCAAAGACCTGAATTGTGTGGATCAAACCATGAAAATTTCAGGGAGAGATAAGATTTGATTACTTTTCTTTAAAACCCTTTTTGTCTAATTTTTAAGTCACTGTACTTTTACTTTTGCAACACATTGGTGCTATACAGTTATTATTCCTCAGGGTTTCAAGGATACACACATCAGCCTTGAACTGCTCACATATGAAGTCTACACGTCTACAGTGTGCTTATACATGTAGATCAATTTTGTGTTCAAATTTTAATGATTTCACAGAGAGAACATTAGTTGCTGCAGGGAATCTTCTCTTTTTCTACTTCATGTATGCTTTACACAACTTTTAATAATGATGAAAATATGAAGACAGAAAGATGCCAAAGACACTAAAGCAGAAATTATGCCAATACCATACAATAAACATCACTTAAGGGATCAAATCAAAACACTTTTTTTTTTAAATTTTTTTCTCATAAGATTAAATGTGGTTTATCACGTGTTTTTGTAATATTGAAGATTGAACATAACATGAAATTGCACGTCTGGGTATTGTCAATAAATACAAACAACAGGTTAAAACAGTTAATTATACAAATTCCATAATGTATAATTACAGAATAATTAAGACAAATGACTGGCAACCAATGCTACCCTAACATTTCATTCTGGCATAACAACTATAACATCACAACCTCAAGCTTCTAAATGTAAAATCTGCTGTCTATATTGAAAGCAGTTTGTTAACTGAAGGAATGTACCAACCTTTTTACTGAGCTAAAGGAATGTACATATTAAGTGCAAACAACCATACATTCAATAATATAAGCTGAATTTGCCACTGCCCATAACATCAGGATATAGATACACAATAAGAGGCAATCACTTTTATTTCCAATACCATGTATATGCTTTTAATGAAAGAAATAAATTAAGTAGATACTTGAACTGTCAAGCCTATTTTAATTGCCATTCATACCTAAAGACATCCCCAGCAGTTTTGGACTTCAGATCAAACCTTTCAACCCCCCCCTCACCTGGGATAGTATTAAACACTGATATGACCATGATAAACATTTACCCATTCAAAAAGGTTGGGACAGACAAAAGGAACCTCAGATTACCACAAAGACACTGGATATATACACCCCATGTTTCAGAGCCCACTGAGAACTCCTCTCTTCTCAGCAATTTAATGCTATTGGGAATGACAGAAATATGCTAGCTATAGATGCTGGTCACCACTAGATTCTCAAACTCCAGGTTGGATAATTCAATCTGTACGTATTACTAAAATCTATAGCAGCAATGAATCACCATGGTAACCATGCTCTGCCCACAGCTCTTGGGTTGATGACAATTTTATCAGATCCAATAGTCAACTGTGTGTGATGCCTTAATCACCTGCTTGTACACTGAACTCTGTACATGCAAGTTCAATGTACATGATATTCCATGTTATGTAGGCGTATATGAACAATACAACATTCACAGCCGCTATATCAATTATATTTTGTAGATGTATATATACCAATTGTCCAAGTGTGTGCATCACAATGTCTAATGGATCGCTCTCCATACATTATCTAACCTTTGGTAATGACATCTTGGGTTTCTATATTTCAAAATTATCATGTACTACAACAATGCATCATGCTACTTATGTGACGAACCCACATTTTGCCTTATGATGAATTGTGTACATGGCATCTACATTAGCCCTGCCAGAGGTATGTGTTTATATATGAATATACATAGCTACATATGATATCTAATTCACTTATATATTTTTTTGTTCATGCAGCTGTTTAAAGTCTCAAGAATCTGGTTTCAGAAGCTTAGTGCCACGCCATTTAACTCTTTTCTGGCATCTCCATCAGAGTGTGCCACTGTGCAATGGGTCGCCTGGGGTTGGCCAACATGTCGCTCCAATGGCGCAGTTCTGCCCCAGTGGCAGTGCAGCCAAGGACTGTTCGTCCAATGGGTTCTGATGTTCCAATCCTATCGTAGTCGACCACTGTGATGATCAAGGTCACTTTCTGTAATGTAGAAGATAAATGTGGAGACCAATTACTAAGAAATTCTCTGCCCCAGTGTTTTAGCATGCAAGTTTGAATTGATCAATTCTACATTTCCTTAATTCTGGCATACAACAACATATTTTTTTAAACCATCTGACTGATACCTCCTCAGAGAGCATTTTCATCACAAATATACAGTTCTATTGATTATTCATCTTAACTGTCAATAAAGGAAACACCTTTTTATGGTTTCTGACACATCTTTGAGGAATATAAAAGAAAGAATATTGATGCTTGGGCTTACATTAAAGATAAAAAAAAGAAAAACTTGCATTAAGATAATTTGCAATTGTCTTAATCTTTATGCTGATTTGTTTAATCATATATATAGTAAGTGCAGGCCTAGGAGTTTTCATTCAAATGAAACATTTATAATGTACATCTTACAGCTAGGAAAGGACTTTTAGCTTTAAAATATTACAATTCAGCTTTCAGTGTAATGAACACGCTTTAGGGACTGAATAAGTCACTGCAAGTACCACTAAAAAATCAAATTTAAGTGATAAACTTAAATCAACTGTCTTACATAGAAAGCTACAGTGCTGGTGCATTACTATGTTGAATGAAGTGTTTATCTTTATTGCTGAAAGTATTGACCTTTTCTATACATGTGCAACACACTGAATGCACTGCCCATGTACAAAGTCAAACCATAAACCATTTTCTAAACATGTGATGCACACAAAATAAGAATTAACTTAAAAACAAATACATTTATTCATGTTCTACGACTGAACAGGATTTCTTCTCGCTGAAATAAATCACAAGTTTGATTCTTGTCACAACCTGAGAAAGCCAGGGACGGTAACTCTTTTACTTAAAGGGATAATAACTCTTCGTATGAGGTCTATATTTCACAATAAAAACATTGTGAATAACTCACAGAAATATAATATATTCTGTTTTACGACAAAAACAGCAGTTATAGCTATTATTCTGATATCTGAGCTTGTCTTCAGACCACGTGACCTCCATTGATGGCTATACTCTGTTAAAATCTCTTAAGAGATTTTAACAAAAAACCAAACTTTTTAGAAAAAAACCAGGGACTAACTTTGAATGTAAAAATGGATTCATTAACCATTGGTAAGTATGGGAAAATTGTTGTTTACTCCAGGAAAATTCATTTTTTGGCCAAAACGAAGAGTTATTATCCCTTTAATTTGTTTTGTTATAATTGTTAACTTCAAATGGAGCCAATCTGCCAATTCTAGAGGTTGATAAGTTAGGTATCTTTGTATTGATTTCAAATTGTGCCAAGATCCAGGTTAAATCAATCTTACAAGAAATGAGGTCCATAAGGTAGAGGTACAGTACACCAACTGACATACTGTGTTGAGAAAGAAATAACACAAATCAACTCTGATGAATTTGCTGTACTCAAAATCTACTCTGTTCTTCTTTTGATTATTTTAAATTAACCAAATACCTACAATAAAAGCTAAATGGTAATGGTTATTCTGTAGACTAAAATCTATTCTAGCGGGAAAACTATGTAAGTTTTCTCTACCTTATCTACCTATAATAAACACCATATCACAAAAAATATAATACTGTACTTATAATATCTAGATCAAAATAATAAAATCTAGCCCAGAATATTGTGTTTATTTCCATCTGAACCCTTTAAAATATGATGGAATATAATACACAATAATGAAAACATTTCTTTAACATTTTTTTTTTACCAAAACATATAGATAAATCAATTTTTTAATACTCAATTTGAACTGCCTTCTATAAAGACAAAGTTCAGAGGCATCACAATATCCTTGGCTAGCACCTTGAACACACTATAAATGCAATGCACAACACATCAAATATGATAACACAATGACAGATATGGACTGAAATTAAATACAGAAAACTGAGGAATAATAAATAATGACAAAAATCAAGACCTTGCACTCTAGCACTTCTAAAACAAATTTTGAAACAAATGAGTGCATATAGAATCTACACCACTTATACCTGGATCTGTTCAAAGGGAACTTCGAATGCAAATGATTCGTTATAGTATGGATTCAGCGTCTTAAACCTGATATTAGTCTTTTTCTTCTTTATCCGCTTCCCATTCAACATCAGTGACAATTTCACATAGGGGTCTGATGGCAGAAAAATTCAAATTAATGTTCAATCATATTCATGCATCAACAACAAATATATAACAGCATGCATCCTGGATGGCCAATGTGTTGTATCTGATGAATTAACAGCAGCATGACAATAAAATATGCATACAAAGATGAATACACTTTGCCAAAAATGACATTCTCTTGACCAGGTTTTTATTATTTCAGTACATTACTGCGTATCTGAATTGTTTATTGTCACATTCTGCTGCTGCTTGTATTTTGTCTGCTCATCAATAATTCTATCAGATGCACAGTTTCCACTGCTGTGTACTTAATTTACCATTTAGCCCTAGAATGCCAGGATAATCTCTTTGGAGCTGCAGTTTATATTATATACAACACTGGATATTGACCTATGCAGCACCCACAATTCTAGGTTATCAATTTTTATCTTCCTTGGAGAAGAAACTATCAGTGGTTGAGTAAATAATTTTCAAGATGATCTGTCATGTCAGTTTCTTGTCTTTTTCAAAAAGGCCAGGAAATTTTTGATGTATCAAGGAAGATGAATGAGATAAGGTAACTTAATGCAGTAGAAAGTGTGAACTGATGTGAACATGATTTGTAGACATACACAAACAATTCATCATCTCCCAGCTCTCTGCTGTTGCTGTTGATAAATGCATCCTTAAATGCTGTAAATGGAGACAGATATAAACAAGTGTTAATCCATACGTGGCTATGGAGACCAGTTTAGCACACTGACCTGAAATATAGAATATTGAATATAGAATTAATACAAGCATGCAGCACTGTGGTATGAAAAAACATATATAAATACATATATTCGACACATTTTACACTACCTGGATCTGCTCAAATGGAACTTCAAATGTAAAGGATTCGTTGTAGTAGGGATTCAAGGTATGCTTCTTTATGGTGGTTTTCTTTTTCTTGAGGCGTTTGGTGCCTTGATAGAGGGCTATTTTCACGTAAGGATCTGTGAGGCAGAAATAAGGTAAAACAATCTAATGAAAACAATAATACTGGTGCTCACATAACTAAGACAAAATGCACAAACATTACTTTCTTATATTAGATTTCAAATTAAAAGTCAAATCTAATGTCAGACAAACAAATCAGGTAGATGCATTCTAAAGAATTTGAAAAACTTAAAAATTACAGTCATGTAAAAAAATATTACTCAAATATCATGTAGCACTACGTGAAATACAATATAAAAGGAGAAATATTCACAAAGAGCACAAAAAATAACATCAAAAGATAAAATATACGTAAATACATCCATGATAATAGATACAAAAACATGATTAAAATTGTGAAATGGAAAAGCCATAAGTCAAAATGCTTTTCTTCTTGAAAAGTAAANGTGCATTGCAATGAGTGCCACACCCAGACCCCAATACCGACAAAGCCCAAATTTTACGTGGAACGAGTTGAGATTATAGGTGACCTAAATCCATGAGATGGGTATGGGGGGCCTTACCGTCTAGGAGGAGAAGCGGTAACGGTAGCCGTCCGGCGGAGCCGGCGGAACGATCCGGACGAGACCGAAACCATGTGTACCGCCAGCGCTAACGCTGGTGGTACAATAACATCAAAAGATAAAATATATGTAAATACATCCATGATAATAGATACAAAAACATGATTAAAATTGTGAAATGGAAAAGCCACAAGTCAAAATGCTTTTCTTCTTGAAAAGTAAAGAAAACATAAAAAGCAACAACACTACAATAGGGAATATCCAAGAAATATATAAAAGCAGGGGTTGGGAAGCCATGGAAGATTAAAGAGATGATGCATTATTCAGACTTCACTTGATTTCCATTACATGAGGGTTGAAAAGAAATGTTGTGTTCCATGCCTGAGCAGATACATGTTGTACATATAATTTAAAAACAAATTAAAACAGGGAGTGGAATCAAATTGTATTTTTTGTTCTTGCCAAGTTGCTTTCAATAACTTGGCCTAAAGTTGCTTAAAGAAAGATTTGACCACGGTTTGTTAAAGCACCCACCATCACAGAAATACAGTTGCATTGGTTTGTTTTGGAATGCTTTATCTGCAGTCTGAGAACCTCGCTAAAAGTGCAAAAAAGTATCAAATCTGCTATTTTGACTTAGTAAAAGTAAATTGATCTTACTTTCACAGGTGTATCTATTCAAGTTTGTTTACAAAACAGCATCTGTTTATTAAATTCCAAATGACCAAATGTCCTGAATCTACAATTATTTGCAGCACAGGATATACAGGTTTTATGACCAAACAATGAAATTCATAGTCAAGACTTCATATTGATATGCCTGGTACTTGAATACACAGTGAAGCAACTTTGTTATGGGAGGGGTGGCATTTTTAATGGATATAACACTTGAAATTTGCTGGTATTTGGGTCAAGATTTTAATAATATATACCAGCCTCATGTACTCTTGTATCTATATCACATAAAATTATTTTGTACGATATCCAAAAACTTTTACTACATATATGAAGAGTTGAAAGACTTCAGTATCTGCATAATCTACTTAACACATGACACCAATGCAGGTAAAATGGTTTGCTTTGAAATATTTGTATTTGACAGATTGCAAACTGTGCAGTGACATGAAACTACTGGTACACTCAAAATGTCTGCCTTTCCTCATTTATTGAACTATTAAAACGTGCGTCATCGATCAAGCTGTGATTTGTTTATTTCATCTTGGTTCATATATAATTCAGTCAGAAATGGTGCAGTTCTTGGTAAACATGATATTTCCAGCAAATAATACGTAGGGTATTAAGAAATACTTTAGACAGAAATATGTATGACTAGATCAAATTAATAACACTCTTTCATATTGGATTATATTCTTTTCACCTTGGATCTAAACCTTAGACATGTCACTCCACAGTTTAGTTTTACACCTGGATTAATAGCTCGAATATGCAATTTTTTTGTTTTGTTTTTTTCTGCAGAAGCTGTAGATTTTTAATAATGACCAACTTATTTAAATCTGAAGCAGTGATATTAGAAAAGCACTTAAATTCTTATATCTACTGTTAATTTTAACCTATTGAGTCACTGATTCCAACTTGGAATCTATAGTTATAGCAACTGCAGTGAGAACATATTCAGACATGCATATTACATACACCTTCAACTTAAGCATTTATATGCCAAGTCTAAGAAGTTGACTTATTCCTAAGATGAATCCAAATTCAGACATTCAAATAGAATTTCCATGATTTGTACAAATAGAGTGGCAGATATTTAAAAATTCTTTCTGGTTCTAAATAATAAAAAACGCTTATAATAAAAATATCTAACAACTCCGAAACTTGGCAAACAAGCGGAGATTTCAGAGCTCTGCAAAAATTATAATAATGTATAAAATTCCAACTCCTTCTGTCAAAGCAGAGGGCTCATCTGTCATACCTGATAGACCACCAACATCCATCTTTTTGAGATTCTTAGCCTCTAAGATGACCACGGTCAATTTGCCAGCTGTGGGAACATAACGCAGGGAGAAACAAATATCTCCAAGTTTGTTCTCCTGCAAACGAAAAAAAAGTTATTTCAAGAAAAAAAATTAATGCAACAAATACTCATTTTTCCTTTACAATCTACTTTTCTTTTTTCTTTGTTACACTTTGGATGCTTAACTTTCAAAACTGACCAACATCATAGCAATGCGTGATGAAACACATTTCATAACTGAAAATCTTTTTTTTTTTTTGAAATATTTACTTTAAAATACTCAAATGGTGCAGTTCTCGGTAAACATGATATTTCCAGCAAATAATACGTAGGGTATTAAGAAATACTTTAGACAGAAATATGTATGACTAGATCAAATCAATAACACTCTTTCATATTGGATTATATTCTTTTCACTATAAGCCATCAAAATGCTTTCAGCAATGTCAACAATGATAAGAAACTTAGTCATGGCCTCAGCTTTCCACTGAGATAAAATAACCTTAATATTGCCAGCCTATCTTATCCTACCTTTTCATCAGAGTCTGGGCTCTGCAGATCTCTCCACTCCTCTAGCACCTGTCCTAAGTCCACAGAGTTCAGGGGTACCTCCACCTTGCCAATTTGGTCATGCTTAGAGAAACGATCAAAGTCATACACAGCCATCACCAGGGTCTTGCAGGCCACATCAGCAAATGGCACCTGGAATAAACCAGAAAAAAATGGGTATAGGGAGGGGGGAGGGGTTATCTTGGGATATGTGCCAAGAAATGTTAAATAAATCATATGTTGTGACAAACTGATAGGTTTAGATAAGGGTTGCCTGAAACATGTATATATATATATTATTTAATATATACATTATATATACCATAACCATCATGAAAAGCATGGGATGATGACTTTGTTAAATAAACAGTTTAATTAATAGCATATTATTCTTTGTGCAGCATATTTATATTTATCAGCCTCATATTTATATTTCCCAGCCAAATTTGCTTACCTTGAACATGAATGTCTCATTGAATACTGGGTTCAGAGTTTTACGGTGCACTTTTGTCTCATACTTCTTCTTCTTGTCTGGCAGTAAGAAAACCTTGACATAAGGGTCCGATGTCCCGGACATGTCCAAACCTGGCAACTCCGCACCTTGGATAACTGTCACTGACAGCTGGAAAAAATTAAATATATATATTTTGCCTTTCCATCACTTACACTATTGACACAAACAGAGTGGCACACACAGCTGCAAGTGAGAAGCAGCACAACTCATTCTGGATAACAGTGGGTTAAGAAAAGCAAGCCCACTAAGGTTATTCATTAATCTAATTACTGTAAAGCCCTGTTACCTACTTTGTTGTGTTTTCTTCAAAAATTAATTTTGTCATGCATATATTTGCCTATAATTTTAATTTTTCCATTACCATTAAAAAAAAGAGGCCTTGCTTAAGGCCAAATTATCACTTGTTCTTTTACTATTTAACTTATTTGCCCCAGTCAAAGACATAAGGGCAATTAATATACATTTACAAAAACATTGTGACATGGCAGCAACATCATCTTATGTTTAAAATCAATATTAAGATCATTTTGGTGAATTGCACAGATCCAATGCTAATACAACCCTTTTTATTTCTGATAACAGTATGCTTCATCTCACTAGTTAGAAGGTAGAAGTCCAATATTTGTTTTAGGCTAAATGTAGGTTCTGTTGGTGGTTTTTTATTTGCTCTTCTTATCAGTCTTAAGACATATTTATGCAAAGCACTATTTTTGAAACTTATGTCGCACAATGTTGGTTGTAAAATAACTTGAATAAGTGAAAGTTATTATCCAACTTTTCCAAGTATCAAAATCTACATGTGTGCTGTCCAATAAGCATAAAATTTCAGGATGAAAAATAAACCTTTTACTCTAAGAAAGGAAATGCCATTTGCTAGATTTTGTGTTGTGTAACTGCTTTGGACCGAGATTCCCACCGAGCACTGAGCATGTTGTAAATATTCAAAGACATGCATAACAAGTCAATCTAGGCAATCAGATCACACAAAACAGCAATTCTATTCTCTGACTACCTATAAAGATGTCCCTAGAGGCTCAAGCAGAAATTTCTATCCATCTATATGGATGCCAACAAGAGAGATCAATCAAAATACAATGAAAGTGACTGAGGTATTGAGAAATGTTGCTACTAGACTAGCTCTGTAGGTGAACAAAATGAAGGTAGGGAGGTGAAGACAAAAACAGGTGTGTTTGCACCAACTGTGATCATCATCTATCGTACTAATCCATGTCCTGCAGTTCTGAAGCTATGTTCTTTTTTGCAAAGTGCATTCAATACATAGACAAAAACATAATGGTACTGATATAAAGCTGGTGAACAAATAAAAGAGCACGAAAAAAATTTTAAAAGTCATTGACAAAAAGTTTGTGTTTTATCATGCCTTAATTACATTAGATAATGCTTGGTATCTCATACTAGTTGTTGGTTTATATAGATCAAAAATCATACAAAGATAACTTTTATTTTTCGTATTTCTTTTGGAAATAAGTTGTGCCCCTATGACTTTTTCTGCTCTTTTGGTAATATTAATCACAAGTGAAAAGGTTCTGCCTGATGAATTCACGGCTTTCAAGATTCATTCAATATTATCAGTAATTTGTGTTGTGTTTCTTGTCCAGGCACTTGGGTAAGTTGTATACTACTGAATTATTTATTCTGCATCAAATGAAATGGCTAAAAAGGAAGATTTTTGTGGATAGATGCGGAGTACCATCTGAGTCCAAACATGATAAATCGACATGGATCCAGCAATCTTGTGAAAATAACTTTGAAGGACAAGATACTTTTGGTCTTAGTTAACAGACATGCACTTTCCATAATACACATATTCTAGTTCATCCATCTCCAGGCCATATATCAAAATCAATACGTACTCCTTTATAGACTGCTTATAAAATATTCATTCTGGATCAAGCTATTAGCTGAAATTGCCAGTGCCATCCCTTTAAACAATCAGACTGGTGGTGGACTAAAATAAAGGTATCATGATAATCATACACACCTCTCCTTTTGTGAAGTCATAATCCAACTTGAACTGAAGTCTTCCTAATTTTTCCGGTTCTTCTTCTTCGCTTTTCCTATCTTCGTTGTCCTCCATATTCACCTCTAGTTCCTCTAGATCTGGCTGGACCTGAGGGAAAAAGTTAACTTTTTATTGTTTTAATTGCTATTTTTAGAATTACAATTCAGTGATAGATAATTTTCTACAAACAAGTTGAAAAAACAAATGGTGTGTTACTTGTTTTATGGGTTGTACAGGTGAGCGATAACAGTTTGATCAACACCAATTAAATTTCAACTGTACCTTTTCCTTGTATGAACTTCCAAGAAGCTGTACATTTTTGAGATCTACAGCTCCTTTGCCCTTGCCCTTCTGATCCTTCTTCTTTTTCTTGCAGATGCATTTCTTACATATACAAATGCATATACAGCAAAGTAATAGTACAGAGGCAACGGCAATGGCAATAATGGCTGGCAGAGGTACTGAAAGGAAAATAATATACCTTAAGATTTCACATACTAGAAATGGTAACATAAACTCTAGAAATAGGGGAAACACTTTCCTTTTCCTGTATCTCTCTATTTTAAAAATATTACAAGTCAGAAGACCCCAAGAAAATCAAAATTTACAAGAAGGACATTGATTACTGTCCAAAAAATGGTAAGAGCCAATTCTGATATCAATGTCAAAAGTAGTTTTTTTATATAACATTCATCCACTGAAAAAAAAGGTTATTTGAAATAATGGGCTCATCTACAGTCAATTCTGTCGTGGTTTGACAACAAAGGGAAAGAGAATGATGGCCAAAAGAATTTAGAATTTAATCAGCTCTCAAGGCGGAAAATGTCTCTCATAAAACACCACTAAAATATAATCAAACTAGACATCTTGAGCACAATTACAGGATACATACCCAAACCCAAAGCATACAAAAATGATAAACCAGATGTTAAATGAGTCTGTGTGCAATTAAGAATAATTTGTTTGGTTTATGTATATATACGTAATGTACTCAAATATGACATCCATTCCAATAAGAAAGTGATTTTTTACTTATCAGTTAATCTCAAATAACCTCATTTTATCTTATAATCTAGGCTTAAGAGGCAATTATGTCCAATTTTAAGCAGAACAATTTCATTGCAGATATTTTGAACTCTGACAGGTAACTAAAATTTTGATTTTCTGAATCAAAAGGCTACATCATAAATAAACCTCACACCAATAATAATTTATGTACTTTATAGATAGCTATTACATTTAATCATTTGAACTAGTCATGCAACAGCTGCACCATCATAAGCTTTGTGGTTGACACATTAATCATTTTCCTACAGCCATCAGGATTGTTCTAAACACCATTTTAGATAATCCAGGTGCCACAGAATATACATCTATCATACACATATCCTTACAGGGTATCTTGTTGATCAAGCCCATCATTTCATCTTTCAGTTTGTCTTTCAGGTCCTTGGGTCCTGCAGTTGGTGTAGGACCAGCCTCATCTCCTGACCCTGACCCAGATACCTCATCTACCACAGCTTGGGTTGTTGACTGTATGGCCCGCCGTAGGCGAGCTCCAACTGCCTCCATGTTCATGATATAAATGGTAGCTGAGGACTTTTACCTGCATGTGCAAAGAAAAAAATAATTAGTGTCATTAAGTGCTGCAAATTCAAAATATTGCTTAAACTGGGTTCCAAAACCTGTAAATAGACACTTTATGCAATAGTTACTCTTTTATACTATTAGTCATTGCTGGGAAATTTTTTGAAGGCTTACGTATTATTTAATTGATAAAGATGCCTAAATACTGCCTCTATTTAATGGAACCTGGGGTGCATATCTCCTAAACAAACAAACAAAAAATACAAAAGCAATGGCACCCCAGTCATCCAACATGCCAATTTTCATGATAATATCTTACTAAGTTACAGAGTCAGTATCTCACACACGTATACAAAGCAGCATAATTGGTGGGCTACCACGTGTGCAGAAGTGGTGAATAAAACAAGAAAATGGGGAATTTTTGCTATTTATTACACGTAGGAGAAGTGCTTTATGTAAAAGAAACAGGGAATAAACATTTGTCAAACATGGGCACTCATTATGCATTGAATCCCCTTAACCTGAATGATCTATTTTACGGTGGGGTAGTTTTGAGCAATAGTGAACATGAAATAAATGATTCATAGACTATAATTTCATTTTACAAAAAATGTGGACTTTGACCCTATTTCTGTCTCAGTTGTTAGTCAAATCCTTTTCATTTATTTTGTTGACTGACTGAAATAAGATTTGAGTCACTTAGATAAAAAGATGTCATAGGATAGGTACTTTATTTTCATACATAAGTATAAAAATACCTTCATATCACATATTGTCAACTGATGTGTGGGTGTGCATGTGGTGCAAAACTGGTCAAAAATGACAAAATGATCAATATTACTTAGTGCCTGATATTCCATCTTGATCACTTGTTTTGTTTCACAACCCTAAAGAACTCTTCTTACACACACACACACATCAGTTGTTGTTCACATTTTGTATGCCTAGTTTTGTTTTGAATGGTACATCTAATTAATTTAAATCCTTTAAAACTATATTAGCAATTTGACCTGGAATAAAAAGCCAAATTAGCCAAAACTTGTTTACTTCCCACCCAGAGCAACAAAATGATATTATTTAATTTCTCAAGAGAAAAGGTCAATATAGAGTTAGTATTCAGTCATTAAGAGTTGAATATGCACCCTCTTGTCTTCCATGTCCTCAGAATGAAATCCAAATCTATTAATTTACGTGAACAAAACATTGATTTTCTCGCAGTGGGAGACAGTCAGAAAGCCTCACAAGAAAAACATCTTTTCCTTGTGGTTGCCGGGAAACATTTGGAATTGACGTCAGTTTGATTTGATCAATGATCCCAAGTATTGCCACAATAAAGAAGGCAATTATGACTTACTGAAAGGGATATATTTAGATATTAATTAGAAGTTGAAGTGTGTTAGTTTCTCAACTTAAGATACACAATGAAAATAATTATTTTTTGTAATTTACCCACAAATGTAGGTTGACATTTTCTTGCTGTCAAGCATTCTGTGCATATATTTGACAAAGCAAGATCTACGGGGACATAATTGAAGTCTGCAGTTTTAGATAATACAATCACTTACAAAACAAGGCTTTGTAAAATGATAACTGTACAGGGTCAATACCACAATGCCTTCAACATAAAATCAGTTGTGACTGCACTTCCCTACTTCCTTGAAGACCAAGTATTGGGACTTGATACTGGGTTAGGATATTGGACAGGAAAAAAATAAGTATTTTGAGTCTTTTTTTTTCAAAAATTCACCCCTATGCATTTTAAATAATCTATACAGACAGGCCTTATAAAGGAATTAGAACTCGAGCCTTTGTGAGCACAAATGCCTAAATTAACAACTTGAGCCACAAATTAAGAAGCCCAAAATTAGTTGCCACAAGCACAGGATAGGATTCACAAACCATACATCAGCTTATCTATCCATTCAGTACATTCTGTATAAGCCAGAGATTGTTGAGAGTGCACTGCAGTCAAATTACGAAAAGTAAAGGAAGCAGTATGTATACAGCCAGAGACCAGGACTGAAGACCAGGACTGGCCAAATTGTTTGTGTGGTCCAATGCTGTGCTCATGGCAGGGGTGCAGCCAGACCTTTTTAAATTGCAGATTTTCAAAATTTCCAGACCTCTACGGCTAAATATAGACTAATGCAACAGATGAAAGGCAGATAAAATTATATGTGCCAAATATCATAGCTTAATTTTCACTAGTAATAAAATCATCACTTAAAGTTAAAAATATTCCCATGTTAATTAAGTTCCTAAATCTAAGGCTTATGTTAGCAAACAGCTATTATCATTTATGAGGCCTGGACAGAAATAGAAACCAAACCATAGCCAAGAAAAGTGGTGAATTTTTACCAACAGCCAATTTTATATTCAGCAAGTTAAAGTCCATAGTAAATCTCAACTATCCTCCAAGGATATCACACATTCTAAAAGCCTTTGATCTCCACACAGTCCAGATCTACTTGACATAATCCCCAAAGATAAAATAAAAAATACTTCCGCCACAATGGCGTGCATTTCCTCAGTACACACTACTAGGAAAGCAATATGCTAGTTAGTGGAAACCAATCACTCAGACATCAGCCATTAGAACAAATGTCTTGGGATCATGATACACAGATATTTACACTCACTGGCTTGTAGTCTTCAGTCAATTACATTTGCAATGCCTTAGATTCACAATGGGAGCTGTATTGTTTTGCAGCAGGTTGTTTATTGTGGCATTTTTTAAACAAGGCTGGAAAAACAGTTGTTATGGAATAAGCACAAAATTAGCTGAGGGAGAAAAATTTCCAGATGAACAGGTCCAGGAAATGTGGGGGAGTGTGATAACCTATTGGTGTCAATGTATGCTGATGCGCATTAACAATGCCGTCTACCTCTGAATGAGACTATGATTATGGAAGATGATGAAACGGCATTATGATTCATCTACTGCAACTACATTCACAACAATATAAATGGTAATTACATAACTGAGAAAATATATTAATTTTCTGTAATTATTTGCATACAAATGATAATCTAAGAGTCCTTACTCTCATTTTTAAGTATATGAAAGAAATATTGCTTAAACAAGATCAATAAAGAGAGACCTTTCCACAGTATTATCCTTCCATCTGACATTTTTCACTCAGTAAATTGTTTTAACTCTTTAGGAGGGAAGTGGTCTATGAAATAGCCAGAATCAATAGCAACGGAATGAGGAAATTTAACTGTTTAGCATCTTGGCATGCTTATTTTTTTATATAAATCAACTCAGGATTTTTAACCCGAAATTTGATGCTATCAGATATTGAGAAATGTGGGTTAATATGGCTTGATTGTAACCTGTCAAAATTGTGTCCATGCAGTAATACAAAAATTGCTGAGACTGACCTAAAAGGCACAGATTGTGGTCGTGTTAAACAGAATATATCTGTAAAACTGAACACATATATAATACATATATATCCATGTTTACACATTGTATAACCCAGAGATTTAAGATAATGTCAACTAACACAAGTTTTCAAAATGACCAAAACATTAAACAAATTTAAAGATTTTGGCACAAATCTAACACTTACATTAAAATTTTCTGTTCAATATATATAAAGTGTGATTAATATTAAAAGGTGAAGAGAAAGATAATAATCACAACCATGACTGGCATGCACACAGACTTAAGATAAACTCCATCCTGCTTTTGTGATATAGGATATACATTTCATCTTCCTACAGTAGCTGCAAGAATAGATAGGATGAAATAAAGTAATGTCCTTACCCTTTTTTATATCCAAGAAGATTACAGAATGGCCAAGATTTCAAAACCTAAAATGTATTCCTAACAGTTTTGGTCAATAGAGGCACTGAGATCTCAGTAACAGAAAGACAGGAGAAACAGATCAATAAATTATGCTGAACCTTCTTGGCCTCCTGTGACAGACATGAAAGGCAATCAATCCAGCTCTGGCCAAATCCTACCTTCAAACCACCGAAACAATCCTCTTTAAAATATGGAAAATATATCCTAGAGTAGTCCTTAGTAATTTCCCTAATATCTGCCCATAAAACTTGAGTTGTTTTATCAGTCCTCTTCCATGGTAAATAAGAAGCTGTCAGTATATTCCACTTATTGGTCTTCTACTTTGAAGCTGCAATTTTCTTCTGCATTGATCGACAGATTGAGCAAATCAATATCTCCTATGGCATTGTGGGTAATTATGCAGAGAACAGCATTAATAATTCAATAACCATAGTGGCAGAAGGCAAGAGGATCTGGTAATATCCTGGCCTTAAAACTGAGAACAATTACAGAACAATTCCAATGACTCCGCAGTTACTTCGGAACGGAAATGAGCATTAATTGGCAGCGTGGTCTCACATGCCTACTGACAGAGAAGAAAAAATAACTAAATGCTATAGAGTAGGGATAGGGAGGCTCAATGTATGACTGCAGGAAAACCAGCCATTAGTTCAGCACAGGACTGCTGTGATGAATGAAGACCATTGTAAATTCCTAGTAAAACCATCAATGAATACCTAAGCTCAAGACAGAATGTAAAATTTGTTCTAAACGATACATTTGATTCACTTGAGCTTACAAAAAAGGAAAACAATATTCATTTTAGTCCACTTGAATAATAATTAGGTAAAAATAATGATTAGGTAAAAAATAAGTTATTTGGTTAAAAGAGAAGAAATTGTTTTAGGGACCTGACAGCAGAAATGTCCAAATAAATTTGAATAATACAGGGGACCAATGACGCATATGACATTGGATTTTGTATTCAAAAGGCTAGTATGTACGATAACATGTACACCAGCATTTTTCATTTCTGGTAACATGCACTAATGATATACTATGCACATACCTCATGTTAACTTTATAAACAACCTGTTTTCATAATTCATGTTGCTTCTAAGCGTGAAGGAAAATGGCAATTTCCTTAAATAACAAAAATTACAATTACTTTTCAAACCATATTTAAAGATTAAAAAATTCAGTGTTACGTACCCACTTCATTAAGTTCATAAGAGCAAGTTTGGAATAGCTTTTCCTGTGATAACTACACAGTAAATTCCTGAGCATTCGAATGTATCTTACAACTTTGAAACATAAACCACATACATGTATGTCAATACCTATCTTTTCATGACATGAAAAATATTCATCTAACAAATATTTTCAGACAATTATCATTGACTGAATCCAGCCAATGATCTAAATAATAATAATAATAATAAACTAGTGACTTCTGTCTAATAAATATATGTTTAAACAATATACAAATTAAAGTAGGTACTTATTACATTCTGGTATTAAAATATCAGAATTTGAAAAATACACCCGATCAAAAAATTACATATAATTAACAAATAATTAAACTTACTTATTTCTAAAATCAAGAATACTAAAAATAAATACAATTCTTGCATTTCCATCACCTACATAACCATTACCTTCACTGAAATAAAATAAGAGGAAATGAATACCACTACACACCCATGCATTTACATCAAAAACAACATGAACACGGAGAAAGCCCTTTCAGAGATGATTTAATGTTGTCATCACAAAAAAGTCGTGAAAACATTTGTTTCATTTTGACCAAACTTAGCTGAGTAAAATATCACTCCACCCACATTCACTGTCTGGTAACCAAAGCTCACAGAACAAACACTATTCCATGTACATACTACAGGCAGCTAGATACACATCTCATTACATGTACCAAAGCTAGCTGATCATACCAAACTGATGTTTTTATTCCTATAATTCCAAATACATGCTTCATTTAAACTCTGCCCATTGGTTACCTTGGTGTCACAGATATGGTAGCAACTAGAAATAAATCACTAATATCTTGAGATTAAGGGCCTGGAACAACTTGTTTAATGAAACTTTCCCATAGACAAGCCAAATAGAAATTGTGTTTTACTTACAAATGGAAAATTAATTTTTAAAAAGTCAAATGGTTATTATAATAATTTTGTTAAAATTCAATTACTACAAATGATTTTGCTTAAATTTATTATATAACAAGCATCATTTTGATTTTGTACAAATGGTTCGTGAAATTATATTAATTTTTTTTCTCATATTTTGAATTTGATGTTCAACACTGGCAGTGCTAAATGCCACCCGTCACAGTTGAAAAATGCACAGGTTTAGAGGTTAAAAAATTAATAGGCATTTATTTGCCAATAAAACAATTTTTACCTTCACCATCTGGTAGATTCATTACATCACACTTTGTGGTTACAAGTACAGTTACAATACTATCAAGTTTTAAGTATTATAGCATGTACCTTAAAATATACAGAAAAAATTATACAGTTGAAAAATCAACACTTCTCAGCTTTAATATTTAACATTGTTAAAAAATGATAAAGAAACAAGTGCACTTTCATACTGTCTATATTAAGTAAACAAAGATATTTTAACAATTGTCAAGCAGAGAGGGGTAAGGGAAAAACCACCAAAACAGCTGAAATACCATATTACCGGGGCCAAGTGGTATGATTCTAGGAAAAACCAGCATAACTGTTTATTGCAAATCTTTCTTCTTTTTTTTTTCATTTTTTTCACAACAAGAAACAAACTATAATAGATTAACAAACTCAAAAGCATGAACTGAATCTATAATTGCAATTGGTGTAAATCACTTACTAACACAAAACATACATATTCCCAAACCAATTATTTTAAACATTCACCATTCAACTGATTCCAGGAGTAGCATTTTGTTTAAAATGTTGATATTTAAATGAAATGACACTCCTTACAATCCGCTTTTTTTAGTTTCACGGTATAACTTTAAAATTGGAATTTTGATGAAATGTAATCCGTTCTTTCTCAGACTCACCTGGAAAGCACTAGGCCTAACTTGTGGGGGCTTTGGCCTTTTTCTATAACGGAACCATCCTATTCACACTTTTCACCAACTAAGATTTGCAAGATACATGCATACTTTATAAAGCAATGAATAATCTAATTCCTGAGTTCATGCCTTCATACAGATCATATCTCTATGACCTCAATGTTAACAATGGGCAGGTGGTATAAGAAATAACAAACCTCATATAAAATTCACTAATATTATTTACTATACAGCACAACTTTTCAAACAGTCGTGACTGTCTTAATAATAGAATGCTTCTTGAGAACAGACAAACAACTTACAGCATTTCTTTCAGTTGTCAATAATACCTCTGGATGCAAACAATAACTGCATAGGTGACAATGGGAAGGTGTAACTGATATATCAGTTATCAGATTGGATTCCTTAAAGTCATTTCCAAAATTACTTTAAACAAATGAGACTCATATGGATAACTACATACATGTGCAAATACTGATAAAATGTTCTATATTAAAGAAAATATCAAATCTACTTGTTATCATATTTCCACAGACACATGTGGCAATTTTCTTAGTTCAATATTTTCAAAACACTCAGAGGAGGGTTTTAAATAATACTGATAATGATATATATTGGTAGACATGTCTTTCTGAAAAATATACTTCTAAACTCATTAGAAAAATTGTTCTTCATCGTTTGATGGGTGAAGAAAATGGGTCATTGGCATCACCATCATTTCCATTTTCAACTTCAGTACAAAGTATGATCTCTCATACACTTGAACTATACTTATTAAAAAACCTGAATTACACTCTGCTTTTCATAAAACAACAACGTGTAAGGAAATCCTGTCATCTGAGCATGTAATCACAGATGTTATGTCAAAATCCTGTTTCGATTCCTTTAGACGTGTGTGTAGTTTCGTTTCCCCATTCAAATTCGGCCCAGGGACCTAGCGTACATGGTGGAAATTTCTACTGATAACGCAGGCCCGTAGCCAGGGGGGTTCAGGGGGTTTGAAAGAAACACCCTTTTTGTCAGATAAAAGTCCATTTTGAACACAATTTGATCTAGGTACACAAAGGCGTCATTATAAAAGGTCCACTTTTCAGAAAAAGAACCCCCCTTTTGAATTTGCTGGCTACATGCCTGTAACGTAATGACCCAGTCACATGAATTAGTTACTTTTTGGCATGTAACTCATAAGAGACGATTTCATGTCACTGCTGTTTAACCATCGATTCAGGATCGTAGCGTGCTTTCCCAACTGTAAAGTTGCCTTGCTGGATCATTTTTAATGTGTTTAATGTTACACTTTCCAAAATTTATGAATATGAAGCAAAATACGATGCATATTCTCAGTGGAAAACGTGCTCACAAGATTGGCACAATATTGAAATTTTGATGCCCATGTCCCATTGTTGTCACCCAGTTTCGTGGAGTTACAGATATATTTATTAAAGGGATAACAACTGTTCATAAGATATCCATATTTCACAATGAATATATTGTAAACAACTCATAGAAATATAATTAATTCTATTATACCAAGAAAGGGTGGTTAACATAATTATTCTGGAATTTGTGCTTGACAACACATCATGTAGATGGCTACACTCTGTAATAATCTCTTAAGAGAGCATTAAAAAAAAAAAAAAAAAAAAAAAAAAAAAAAAAAAATTAAAGAAAATAACCAGGGACTAACTTTGAATGTGGGAATGGATTCATTAACAATTGGTAACTATGGAAAAATTGTCGTTTACCCCAGGAAAATCCATTTTTGGGCCAAAATGAACAGTTGTTATCCCTTTCATTAAGTTGAGGGATTAGAAGAAAAAACGTATTTTTGCCCTCTCCACTAATATCAAGATGGTCAATAATACCAATCTGAAATTGTACTCTGACAAAGAACAAAAAGCTTGCAATTCCCATTCCTACCATAAAATACCACAACCTGTATGTAAACTGAGGCGTGGTAATAATTTGAAAGATTGGTCAATCAGCACCGTCAATTTCCATAAGAACAAAAAGTTTACATGTGCCATTAAATTAAATGATATTAAACACAAATCATGAAATGACTTGTTTGTTTTCAGACAGATTTGCACGTTTACAAAAAGACAAGGTAGCAATTAAGATAAAACAAGGTACTGTCTGTGCAAACCTTGAAGATGTGCAAAACTTAGGAATAACAAAATTATTCAAATGTACAGATGAAAGTAAGTAAATGAAATTACAGGATATCTAGCATTCAATGGTGTATTTTTTCTTTGACTTCATTAGATAACACCTCAATTTATATAACAAAACTACAGACACATTTGTTCCAAGGAAAAAAAATGGTTTTTTCTTTAACATTCATGAGTGGGTAGGGAAGTAGAAATTTTTTCAATCATTTTTCAAAATTTACATTATAAAGAAATTCTCTAAACATTTTCCATACTATGTTGGAAAATAGGCTATATTAATATT